TCACAGCTCACAGCAACCTCAAACTCTTGGGCTTAAGCGATTCTCTTGCCTCAGCCTCCCAAGTAGCTGGGACTACAGGCGCCTGCCACAATGCCCAGCTGTTTTTTGGCTGTAGTTTATCGTTGTTTGGCAGGCCCAGGCTGGATTCGAACCCGCCATCTCTGGTGTATGTGGCTGGCTCCCTAGCCACTTGAGCTATAGGCACCGAGCTGGAACCAGATATTTTAATCATTGCAACTAAAAATACAGCTTTCTTTCATCCTAAACCCTGTATTTATTATGAGCATTTATATTTAATATGAGCAAATACATGCTGTTTTCATTTTTGTTACCATAAAAAATTCTTGTGTCTGTGTAGATAAATATCAAGTTATTGTAAGTATTTATTAAAAGACTATTCCTTATAGGGCAGCGCCTGTGGCTCAAAAGGGTAGGGCACTGGTCCCATATGCCACAGGTAGCGGGTTCAAACCCAGCCCTGGCCAAAAAACTGCCCCCCAAAAAAAGACTATTCCTTATAATTCACAAGCCATATAAACTTTAGGTGGTGAATTAAGTCTTTTGTCAATACTTTGATTTGCATCATTAATATTTTCATGTGGAATATCATGTCTAAGCATCTTAATATGTTGGATACTCATACAGGTCATAAAATTTCATATTTTAATTATAATCAGATTGTAAATGTAAACCTATTGCTATTTGGAGGAAGAAAAGGAATATTTTGTAGAATTATTATAATTTTTTCTCTCATATTTATGATGTCTTATACATAACAGATACTATATAATTTTGAAGAAGTGATGGTATTATGTATAAAAGTGAATGCCTAAGCTATATAGAATTATTAACCGTAGGTGTTTTGAACTTAAAACATTGTTATGTTTTTTGAAGTTTGAAAAGTATGCCTGACCAGTTGGGTTGACCATTTCCCCTTTCTACTCCGGTTCTGTAGGACGTCAGTGGGGGAGGACCTGCTCGTTCTTACCCAGTTGGAGGCCTCTGCTACTACCTTTCTCCTCCTGAGTCCATGGGCGCCATATTTGAGGATCCTGTCCACGTAGTTGTTTATATCATCTTCATGTTGGGATCCTGTGCATTCTTCTCTAAGACATGGATAGAGGTGTCTGGTTCCTCAGCCAAAGATGTAAGCATTTGGCTTATTTGAAAATAAAGGCTAGGTATGGTGCTTCACACCTATAATCCCAGCAATTCTGGAGCCCAAAGTGGGAGGATCCTGAGGCTAGGAGTAGTTTGAGACCAGATTGGGCAACATAGACCTTGTTTCTACCAAAAAAAAAAAGCAAAAAAAAAACTAATAAATAAAATACGTAGCTGGGCGTTGTACAGGTGTCTGTAGTCCCAGCTACTTGGGAGGCTGAAGATGAGCTCTGTAGCCCAGGAATTTGAGGTGGGCTCACTGCACTGCAGTTTAAGTGTCAGGTCGAGACCCTGTCTCAAAATTTAAAATTAAAAAAAAAAAAATGAAAGAAGCAAAATTTTTTGGAAAAAGACATTCATAATAGTTGAGTGGCTCAGTGGGTAGGGTGCTGGCCCCGTATACCAAGGGTGGTGGGTTTGAACCTGGCCCTGGCCAAACTGCCAACAAAAAAATACCCAGGCACCTGAGAATCACCTAAGCCCAGGAGTTGGAGGTTGCTATGAGCTATGACGCCATGGCACTCTACCTAGGGTGATAAAGTGAGACTTTGTCCTTAAAAAAAAAAAAGAAATAGTAGTTGATTCACTCTTATGTAATTAAAACTTTCATTCATACATTCTTAATCAGACAATGTCACTCTTTGGAGCTGACAGTTGGTTCCTGGAAGGTAAAAATTCTTTAGATACTACGATGGGTTTAGGACTCTCCAGAACAACCCTATGAACAAAATGTTATTCATTAGTAATAAAAAGAAAGCTGAGAAGCACTGGTTTGATATAGTTAGCATGTAGTGAAGCCTCCGGTGTAATGGGAATGGTAGGACTTCAGGGCTCTGTGTTTCACTTGTTAGTGTGGGAAGCACTTCACACAGAACTGGCAGGCAGTATTTGGTGAGATGTTAGTTTGATATTTAAAGTTGTATTTCTCTTGGCAGGTAGCTAAGCAGCTTAAGGAACAGCAGATGGTAATGAGGGGTCACAGAGACACCTCTATGGTTCATGAGCTTAATAGGTAAGGCCATACATTAATCCTTCACAGAAGATGTTTGCCTTTCCGTCTCTATTGCTAAATGTTTTCGTTTGCTCAAATTCGTATTTATAGCAGTTTTCACACAACAGAACTAGAATTTAACACAAAACTTGTTTTCTGCATCAAAATTGACACCTGAAATTCTATTTTAATTGAAATTGTATTCCCTTCTCTGCTCTTCCCAGTGTTACAAGACTATAGATCAGTGGCACTCAGTATTTGCTGACTGCACATAAAATTTCCAGGGAATTAAGAAAAAAAGTACTGATCTCCCACCCCCAGGAATTGTGATTTATTTGGTCTGGGATGTGTCCCAGGCATCAGGATTTTGGTTTTTGGTAACAAATGTATTAAGATTATAATCCACAGACCATGAAAATCACTCACATGATGCATGTAGTTTTAAGTATGTATATTCAGACTTGTGTAATTATTACAATCTAATTTTAAACACATTTTTATCACCCAGAAGGAAACCCCATACTCACTAGTCGTTCCTTGTTCCTCCCCACCCTCCAGCCCCAGCAGCCACTTTTCACCCTGTGTCTCTATACGTGCCTGTTCTCGACATTTCACAGACTGCTACTCAATGGAGTCATGGTTTTTTCATAATAGCTTCTTCACTTTGCATGTTTTAATGGTTCATCAGTGTTTTAGGACGTTGTCAATACTTCATTCCTTTCTATTCATGAGTAATATTTTATGTATCTGTGTTGAACATTTTGAAGGACTGGTTGTAATATTTTATTGTATCTGTGGCTGTACCATTCTGCAGTCGCACCAGCCATGCAGGGTTCCAGTTGCTGCATATCCTTGCTAACCTTAGTTCTTGCATTTGGATTTCAGCCATCCTAGTGGATGTGAAGTAATATTTCATTGTGATTTTGATTTGCTTTTCCCTGATGGCTGATTTGAATGTCTTTTCATGTGATTATTGGCCATTTACCTCTTTTTTGGAGAAATGTACATTCAGATAATTTCCTCATTTTTAATTGGATTATCTTTTTGTTAATGAGTTTTCAGATTTTTTCTACTGAAAATTTCTCTTATAAATGGTTGCAAATATTTTTTCCCATTCTGTGGGTTGTCTTTTTACTTTTTTCTTAACATCAGATTAATATGTGGTTACAGTTGATTAGGTTACATAGTTTGCATTTGTTACACGAAGTTCATGTCACACTCGTGCCCCTCCCCAGGGAGGCCTGCACATACCCTTACTTTGCCAAAGCCTGTTAGGTGAGAACACACCAATCCCCCTCCCTCCTTTTTATTTTCTCTTGATGCACAATTTTTTTTAAAGCTTTATTAAAAACATGGAACGCTTCATGAATTTGCGTATCATTCTTGTGCTGGGGCCATGCTGACCTCTGTATCGTTTCAGTTTTAGTATATGTGCTGCCTCAGTGAGCACTTGATGTACGAGTTTTTAATTTCAGTGAACTCCCATTTTCATTTTCTCTGTGGTGGTTTTATGCTCCTTTTGGTGTTGTGTCTAAGAAAGCATTGCCAAACCCAGGGTCACAAAGATTTTCTTCTTTCTCTTAGAGTTTCAGCTCTCATATGTATATCTGTGATCCGCCTGATAGGGGTCCAAAAGCCTTTGCACATGGATATGCAGTTGTCCAGCACCCTTTGTCAGGGGCACTGCTATTTTCATTTAAATTCTTTATTTACTCAGAACATAGAGCACAGAGAGTAGTATTGATATAATGAACCTCAGGTTTCATTGATTACTTTGCTTTCCTTTACCATCTTTCCTTTTTTTTTTCTTTTTCTTCTTGGGAGTATTTTTGATAGAAATCTAATTTTTAAGTCTTTTGGTGAGTCTAACGTACAGCCAAGGCTGGATTACTGTTTACAAGGATCATCAAAATCTTGGCACATAAATTTAATACACAGGAAGCATTTTCAGATTATTTTTCTTTTTACAAGAGAGAACCAAAGATTACTTGTTTAAAAATATTAAACATCGGGGTGGCGCCTGTGGCTCAGTGAGTCCAGGGCACCGGCCCCAGCCAAACCGCAACAACAAAAAAATAGCCAGGCTTTGTGGTGGGCACCTGTGGTCCCAGCTATTTGGGAGGCAAGGGAATCACCTAAGCCCAAGAGTTGGAGGTTGCTGTGAGCTGTGATGCCAAAAAGGAAAAAAAAAAACATCTGGTACTTCAATATCATTCTAGGATTCTCATCTTCTGCCCTAAGATCATATATTAGTTTTCTTGGCTTTTTACTGGTTGCCTGAAATTAGGGCGTCAGTATCAGGCCTTGATGGCAGAGTTCCCGTCTGTGCTGTCTGTTACATATAGCCCATCAGTGCTGCAGACTACCTGCTTCTGAGTGGTTCAGCCAGAGACAGCCATTGCTGGCTCAGCTCTGACGTCTTGTTCTCTCTGCTGAACTCAAGGTTTTGTCTTCCAGGTACATCCCCACTGCAGCTGCGTTTGGTGGCCTGTGCATTGGCGCCCTGTCGGTGTTGGCGGACTTCCTGGGGGCCATTGGATCTGGCACCGGAATTCTGCTTGCAGTCACTATTATTTATCAGTATTTTGAAATATTTGTTAAGGAACAAGCTGAAGTTGGCGGGATGGGTGCTTTGTTTTTTTAAACCTTCAAATATTTCTTTGTGTGAGTGTGAAAGGGAAGTATTTTGACACATTTTTTCAAATAATGCTGGTGGTTCCCCTCCCCTCCCCCAGTTTGTCAAGTGCTGACTGTCCCACTTCAGAAATGGGCACCGAGCTAAGCCTGTGTGCAGCATTAGAACCAGCTGCCTTAAAACTAAAGTTTACATTGTTTGTTAAAAAATGTACAGCTAGTGTTGCCTGTAATGCTGGAAACCAATGTATCTACCTTGCTGTGTTCAGTGACAGTGAGATGGTAACATGGATTAGTTTTGCACACAACATTCAAAACACTTAGTATTCCCCCACTTGTTTAAAAATAAATGTAGTTCAAATTGCCACTTTCAAGTATTTTTGAGCTTATTTAATGAGTTCTAGAACATTTATATCTAATCTATATTTTAGATAATTACTTTTTATACTTTTTTAACTCATAGTATCCCCTCCCTCCCCCCCTTTTATTTGTCCCTTTCAAAGCAGCCATTTAGCCCCGATGGGCAAAATCATGCATCGAGTTATTTCTGTCACTGGAAACAACCGCTTCTAATTACTGTTCCTGTTTTTCATCCCCCTTTCTTCCCAGTAACAGCATCCTCGGTGCTGTGTGACTGTATTGGCTATGCCTTCTAACTCCAACCAGGCACTTGAGAATGCTCTTTCAGCGTATTATGCCCCATTCTTTTTTTTTTTCCAAATCTTAAGATCTAATTCTCAAGCAGTGTCTGTAGTTCGGTGGGGGTGAACAATGAGCAGTTCATGCGAGGAATCTGTGTATGTTGTTGTACTTACAGCAGCAACGTGAGTGTAAACAGTAGACAATAAACTTTTATTTAATAAAACTGTTTCAGTTGTGTTGGAAAAATAAAGAAATAATGATATTAAATGTTTTCTAAGATTATTTATATAGGTTCACAGTATTCTGACAAAGTCCATCCTGATAGGCCTATTAAAGAAGCTAAAATGTAATTACACTTTAATCCTAAATTATTGCGGGACATTGACCAACCTAACAGTACTTGTTCATGGGGCTAACGTGGAAAGGAACAGGAAAACTGGTCTCAAAACAGTACGTCAGTCACCATTGGAAAACACAGTTCTTTGTAAATATTTTTAAAAGATAAAAATTTCTCTTCATTGGTATGGTTTTCCATTGTTGTTTACTTTTTTTTTTTTTT